TAATCCAGAATTCAATGCTACTGGTCAGAGTAGGTCGTTCAAAATTGATCATTACGTTATTATCTCTTAATGCCCAACATAATATTCTAATTATTTCATGTCGTTTAAAGAAAAAAAAATAATCTTCTAATAGTACCTATTTAGAACATGAGCAGTACTAGGGGCACTCGCTTTCTGCACTCTCCGGCCAACACTTCCGCTTGCATTGGGCCACGTAAGCTTCTTTAGTGCTTTCAGCCAACCTCTCGGAAACCAAAATAACGTGGCCCAATAAAAGAGAAAGTGTTGGCCGGAGAGTGCAGGAGGCGAGTGCCCCTAGCATTGCTCTTAGAACATTTATGAAATTAATTATACTCCTAGAACAAAGGAACTAAGTTAAGAAAAAAAGAAAAAAAGGAGTACTACTTTTTTTCGTGGGCTTATCTGGTCACGTGTCATGCCAGCAGTTAAGATTTAGCCATTTCTCACGTCACCATTGAAGATGAGGGGCCCATTTATTCAATGCAACTAATAAATCTGGCCCACCCAACTTTTGATCATCAGATCATACACTCTGGGTCATCGACACGTGGAATTTCTTTTATTAAAGGAAAATAACTGAGATGTTTATTTATTATTATTATTATTTTTTTGAACATTTTTTACACGGAACGGATTCGAAACTCGCTCAGGAGAGAGGGAAATGCACCTAGCAAACTGGTTAGATGTTTATTTTTCTTTAAAATATCAAAGATAAGAGTAGTGTATAAATAAAATGATCATATGAACAAGTTAAAATGCAATAGATAAGAGAAATATCCCCAAATTGGTCAGGAGTTCGAACTCTAACTAATGTCTTGAAAATACATATCCACATCCTCAAATTCCTCATGTTCAAAAATAAATAAATAATTTTATTTTAATATTATTATCATGTATAGAATTTTTAATTTATATTTTAAAGGTATAATTTAAAAAATAATTAATATATATTTTAGTTATTAAATTACATTAAAAAATAAGTTTTAATTTTAATAATTAACAGATTATATTTAAATTTTTTTAATTTATATAAGTTAAAGATGTATTTATTATATTTTTATTAATTTACTTAAAAAAATATAAATGCACTCTTGTTTTTCAAGTAGTATTCAATGTTGAAATTAATATAAGTTTTTTTACTCTCTTCAATTAAATTTAGTTATCTTAATTTTCAAATAAAAGTAGTCTAATTTAATTGTTTTATTTTTCATTTTAATAAGATATTAAATGCTAATATTGAATTTTAACATTATCTTCAAAGAGATAGAAATATATTACGATTTTTTTATTTAATTATAAATAAAAGTAAAAATAAAAAAAATAAATTTTAATTATTGTAATAAATAATTTTTTTGATAATCATGAATGAATAAAATAAAACAATTAAATCTAACTAAATAAAGTATTTTTAAAAAAAAATATTAATTAAAAAAACCTTAAATTAATATATGTGACATTGATACTTAAATTAATATTAACTTTTTTTTAAAATTTTTCCCTTGGTTTGCTTCTTTTATTTTTAAATAATTATTATTTTTTAAAATTTAACTTTATCATAAACTAATTATTTTTATTTTAGTTTTTAAATATACAAATATTTTTTATTTTTCATTTTATTATTATCCATTTATTTTGATTGGTCATCTAATATTCTAATTACAAAAAATCTCTATTTATCTTTTCTTTTAAGATTTAATAAATAATACAAATATTATCCATAAATAAATTCTTAATTTAAAAAATTAATAGTTATTTAAAAATAAATTAAAAAATATTTGTTACACCTAAAAAAACTCCTTTATATTTTACCTACAAATTAATTGTTAAAGAAAGAAAGTATTTTATGGCTTCTAAAAAACCGTATAAATAAAAATCGGGCTGTGTTCCCATTGATCTTCCAGCTGAATTCTGCGGGATCGCAGCCCCGCACAGATCTGAACCACCACTGAAAATGATAAACTTTTCGTAAAGCTTCACCTATGCTGCATTTCTCCTCTCGCTGTAGATCTCCAATTCTCAACCTCGAAGTCTCTCTCTTCTCTCTATCTCTATTCATGGAGTTCGTACTACTGGAGAGATCTTACTAGAGTGGTGTGGAAAATGTCTAGTAGGAGTCTCAGAGATTCGTTCGGCGGGAGGAACATTCCGGTGGTGTCTCGGCACCGCCGTGGTCAAAGCTTGAACGGAGGGTTCCCGGCCAAGGATTCCGATGAGAATCTGGATCTCTTCTCCAGGAATCGCCGTAGTTTCTCCGTTGCGTCGTCCGATGAATTTTCTGATGGTACTGATTTTTGTTTACTGATATCTTTGTTTCTTTTGCATGCTTAGGAGAGTATTGTGATTTGATGGATTAGTGAGATGCTGTTTTCCTGTTCTCTTCTTGGTTTAATTTTGTCGGTTTTCGGCGAGCAGTTTGCTCGCACAGAAGGGGACTAGGGGAGAGAGATTTGGGGACGAAAATGATGTTTTTATAACTTAAACGATGTCGCTGATGCATTTCGAAGTGCAAATCAACTTACATACGACGTCGGTTTAATTTAGTTGCATTGCAGAGATGATAATTTTCAGGCTCATTGAAATGCTTTAGCTTATATGATCTTGATTCTGATTGCAGTTTCTGTGAAATTGGGGAGACTTTCAGTTGGACCAATAAAAGTACCCAAAAGCGGGATTGATGATTTACTCAACTCCACAGATGGAGGAAAGCATGATTATGATTGGTAAGTTCTAAATGAGGATTTGCTTCTATTAATGAACTTTATATCTCAGTGTGTAATTTGATTCTGATTTTCATTATTCTGTTTAGAAAATATGCAACTGTAAATGGAATATCCATTTTGTATTTTGTAGTTCTAGATTAAACCAATATTTTAGCATAATGTCAATAAAATATATATATATATATAATATAGATCATATGGCATAGGATTTGGAGATTTTCTGATTATGTAATAAGTACTTGAGCTTGAAATAGATTGAAAATTCTCCATTGCAATGAAGTGTGTTTCAAATAACCAGGAATCTTTGTTTCTAAAAAATTTGTATCTGTCTAGGAGACTTGTAATATGTTATTTAGTGTTTGAGTTGCTTATTGTGCATAAATGTTTACTTAACCTCTAGTAAACAGATTTTAATTAGGAGCCACTCAACTTGTAAACTTTAAAATGCCTAAATTTATATTTACTTAAGATGGTCAAATGTTCATTTTCTTGACAAAATTTACTTGGTACTAAAGCCTGATGGTTTGATTTATTTAGATTTGAACTTACATTATGTTCAGATATCCTTGTCTGTTTCAATTTATAATAATTACTTACAATATGTCATTAGGCTACTTACTCCTCCTGAAACTCCCCTTTTTGCTTCTTCGGATGGGATAGAATCACACCCAACCACACTGGCTCCAAGAAGCAATTCCACAGTTAGATCAATTTCTACCATAAAAGGTTCAAGGGTATGCATTTTTGCTTCTTTATCTATCCTCTCAAACTTCTTTTACGGCCTGATTCTTGTCTCTTACTGTGTGTCTTGGGCAAGTTTAAGAGGAAATAATTAAAACCTATGATGTTTGACCAAGCAATAGCTAACTACCAATCAAACAAGCTCTTTATGTTCCCTGATATCTCCAAAGCATAAACAAGTAATCAAGAATGATTCTTGCTACTAGATGGCATACCTGGAGAACTACTACTTCTGGAGTTTCCAACTGCAAATAACTAATTTCCTTATTCCTCTCTGTTTCAGCTTTCTCTTTCACAATCCGAGAGCAATCATTCGGCAAGACCAACTAGAAGCAGTTCTGTAACTCGATCTTCTCCCTCTACTTCTTATAGTACATATTCCTCAAACAGAGGTCCTTCAATTCTGAATGCAAGCTCAGCCTCTGTCTCTTCTTACACTAGACCATCCTCTCCCATTACCCGCTCCCCTTCCATAGCAAGACCATCCACTCCATCTACTCGTCCGACTCTGTCACGATCCTCAACTCCTTCAAAACCCCGTCCACCTCTTACAAACTCTTCCATTGACAAGACTCGACCAACCCAAAGTTCAAGGCCATCAACTCCAAGTTCTAGGCCCCAAATCCCTGCAAACTTGAATTCCACAGTTGCTCGTTCAAATTCTCGTCCATCAACTCCCACTCGGCGGAATTCGACACCTTCTCTATCTTCACCAGCAAGCGCATCATCTTCAGTAGGACGTGTAGTTTCAAACGGTCGCAATGTGGCTCCAGCATCTCGAGCAAGCTCCCCTAGCCCACGAGTTCGGCCTCCACCACAACCCATTGTGCCTCCTGATTTTCCTCTTGACACACCACCAAACCTCAGAACAACTTTGCCAGATAGGCCACTTTCTGCTGGTAGGTCTCGACCAAGTGTTTCTGTTACCACAAAGGCAAATCAAGACACCATAGGCCCTGTAAGTACAAGAAGACATTCATCACCCATCATAACTAGAGGAAGACTCACAGAACCCCCTGGAAGGGGTCGCATCCATTCTAATGGGCATGCATCTGACATACATGAACCTCGGAAGACCTCACTCACATCAGATTTGGCAATGCGGAAACCCGTGAAGTCTTCAATGACTACCGCAGAGAGCAATGGATTTGGGAGGACTATCTCCAAAAAATCACTGGATATGGCTATGAGGCATATGGTATGCCTAATCTCTACTGTTATATTTAGTGAACTTATTTGACCCCATTTCAAAACCTGCTATTTGCAGACTTGGCTATGTCTACATTCTAGAATTGTTTCCCTATTTATGATTATCTACTAGGTAAAAGAGCTTCAACTTGTTCATATGAACTGAATATTTGAATGCCATAATATAGTAGTAAAATACAATTCTTGGCTGCCACTTAGTTATCATAATTCATGCGTGTGATCTGCAGTATGGTTTGCCATGATGGTATGGTGCCATCATGGTAATTCTCTTTCATTGTTGTGATTGTTATGATTAACCAGTTTATTGTGTTTAACATATTGCAACTCTGTCTATCATTTCTTTATTTGCCATCACTATCTCATGGTTCAAATGATTGTATGATTTTCATGCTAGACAATCAAAATTGAGGAATTACTATTACTAATTGCCTCTTAAATCTCTGCATGACTAAGAATAAAAATTTGTATAACTAACATGATTAGAATGAGAATAAGAATAATGATTTCTCTACATTATAACTTCCTTAAAGCTTAGTGATTTATTTTGGAAGTTCTTGGAGAAGGATATTACGTGAAACTAGACACATGACTTCTAGGAAAATGTCTTTAATATGTGTGTATGTAGTGGAATACCGGTTCATTGACAGATGTCAGCTACATAGTGGCTGGCAACAACTTTACCTAGATGGGCTCTAATCTTCTCTTTTATTGAATGCTTTTTTAAAATTTTAGCTAGGAACTTGAAGTTTTGGCTTAGATTTCTAATGAAAGCTTGGATTTGTTAATAGTTGGAATTGGTTGAATTAGTGATGCTGATCTTTTGTTTCGTTGCTGGTATAGTTGCAAGAGTCTAAACTATGAAATCAAGCCAGGTTTATGGTTTAAAAACAAGTCAATTGCTTGTAATTACCAGGTTTATCTTGCAGGATAAATCCTCACACTGTACATAATCTCTAATGCAGGACATAAGAAATGGCACAGGGAGCATTCGGCAACTTTCAGGCACCACCCTCTTCCCTCAGAGCATCCGATCTGCAGCAGCCAAAACACAGCCTGCCCATACAATGAATGCTTTAGACACCATCAGTATCAATGGAAGCATACAAAACAGTGACGTCTCAGAGAATGGAAGCTATATTAGCAGACCAGTGGAGAATGGAAGTGATGTTAATGATGGAAGATACAATGCCAAGTTGGGTGAAGCGGACATTTACGAGAGTTCTCGGTATGATGCAATACTGCTCAAGGAAGACTTGAAAAATACAAACTGGCTGCACAGCATTGATGATAAATCTGATCAAGGACCTATCTTTGACACCGGTTTTGAGCCTCTGCCCGAACCTTTTGGGCAATTATAGCAGCTAAGAAGAAGGGGTGTTTTTCTCTCAATTCATAATTATTTTTTTAAAAAATATAGCCTGTGCCTTTACAATTATTTGTTTAGTTGGAGAGAATGTCAGCTTGTATCCCTAAAAACAAGGGAGTGAAGAAGGCAAATCATTTGAGAGAGAGCATGTTTTCTTTAGAAGAAAAATCAATTGCGTAATTTGTCCCACTCATGATTTGTGTGGATTAAAGTGAAACAATTAACAGAATCTTCTTACCTGTAGTAACATCAGAAATTTTTATACCAAAGCAATATGTTGTTGAACTTTTGGTATTTTAAATGACATCTTGGACATTGTAGGCTTTAGTTATTTGAAAAGATGTCATGCGGTTCAAATTGCATTAAATTACAAGATTTAAACCATTGGATGAAGAAGGGTCTTTTGAGATAAGGATTGCGCTTCATTTAATGTTTTATAGTTTTGTGTAATTTAAACAATAAAATAATTAACTCAGATATTTCACGTAAAAAGTTGATAAATTTGGTGTACATTATAATCCTAATATTTAGCATTTGCAGAAATTTAAACTATTGAATTATTTCAAATTAAAGTTTTATAATTAATGGATGTGGACTTGATTAAATTCATTACTTTAGTGTGGGGATAGTTCTCACATAATTAAATATTAAGAATATTTATGATTTTGGAAACCTTTTTTTTCTCAAAGTCTTTTAATAACTCTCTCTCACAAAACATTTTTTTCCTTTATTTGTGACACTGAGTTTTAATGTTTATATTCTTTAAAGGAAGCTAACTAAAAGAAGAAGAAGAAGAAGAAGAAGAAGAAAGAGAGAGAAATTCTAAAAGACAAGGAATTTTATGTAAGCAACCTCTGCCAAACAATAACAGGAAGAAAAAGCACTAACTCGGAAGGATTCAGGGAATTATAATGTCATAAAGGGCTTTTTGAGTTTGATATACAATCTTCTAATAAAAAAGGTTGGTTGAAGTGGTTATGACATTGATTTTTTTTTCTCACAGAAAAATAAAGCAGTCTATTTCATTTAAAACACTAGCCATTTTGAGAATCTAAGATGATGCCTAAGCCCCCACTCCCACCCTAACCTTTGGAAATAAATTGTTTTCCTCTGAAATTGAGGGGAAATGCACCTCCCTCGTATGTAGTATTGAATTAAAGAGGAAGGGTTAGGAACCCTATGTCAAAAATGTATATTTTAATGTGGTGGTTTCAACCACTTGATGAGCAAGAATCATAACATTTTTCATCATTATCCACAAAATTAAGCATTAAGTTTCTCATAACATTATTTTTCATTGTCGACAAAATTAAACATTAAGAAATCCTTTAATGAAACATTTGGGTATAGATTAGAGAAAACATAGTCAATGATTGAAGTACAAAACTTTTTTACGTGAAGTAGATGCAAAGAAGACACTATAAATTACATCTAATTTGTTTTGCATGTACAATATGATATTTAAAGTTAACCAAAAAAAAAAAAAACAAATTTCGAAGTTTAATGACTAATAAATGACAAAAAAAATAATAAATAATAATAAAATATATTTTTTAAACTAGGGGAATTGAAAAGAAGAGAGACAATAAAATAAAAAAAATCGTACTCTAACGGTATGGGTAAAAATTATATAATAATCATTGAAGTCACATAGTAAAATTTAATAAAATAATAATAATAACAATCTAACACTATGTGATCTAATAATTATAACCTACGTGAAACGTGTTATGATATAAAAATCTTGAATTCTACACCAAAACATTACTTTCCCATCTCCCGCAATTCCCTTTAGTTCAAAAACAAAATAATAATAATAATAATAACAAATAATAAAGAATAAAACCTACGGCGTTTTAGACTTGGAGGCCTCAACTTTGACAATTAATGTAAAGACTTCCCCATTCCTCAAATGAAAAAAAAAAAAATGTAAAGACTTCCCCAGGAAGACCCTTGACTCCTTTCCACCATTCATCAAAAGATTTCCCAACCACCCAACACTGAAAAAGGCATGCTATTTATGATTGAAGCCAACATTCATTAATGTAACATCTATTCTTCTGACATGTAATTTAAGGTATTGACTTTCCA